TTCTTCGGACGCAAAGTGGGCTGTAGTCCACGAAAGCTTATGATCTAATAAATTTGTTAGTCTCTAAGGTGCCACAAGTACTCCTGTTCTTTTTGTGGATACAGACTAACACGGCTGCTACTCTGAAACCTGATATAAATAATTTTCAACAATAAAAGTGAAAGGACACCACATTTGTGTGCAATGGAAGTAATCTGGGGACTAAAAATGAGGGACTTGAAATAAGGGACACTTGTAATAGTAGTGGTATTTATATTTTGATAGCACCCAGAGTCCTGAATCTGGATCGGAGGCTCATTTTGCTAAGTGCTGTAGAAACACGAAAAGCCATGGTCAGCATTAGCTAACCTGTAAAAATCTTTTGGATTTCTGGAAAGACAGTGGTACACAGATGCAGGCATTAACTGCAACCCTGGCTGACTCCTTCCAACAGCAAGCATGTTGACCACTACATGGCAGTGGAAGGGAAGATAATACGCCTGGTTATTCTTGTCTGGTGTTACACCTGTGTAATTCCATTGATTTCAGTGGAGTTACTGTTGATTTTGCAATGGTGTAACTGAGAGCTAGAAGTCTTCAGACCCTGTGTTGGTGCAGCATAGTTTTTCCTGTTTCTATTGTACTTCCTTTGATTTTTGTTGCTGTGGTACATAGCGACTCAAATGTGTATCCTGCCTTGTTATAACAAGATCCTTTGCTCTCAAAAATGCCCTCACACAAGGTGTATTTACTGGTTCTCTGCTTATATCCTCCCCTTTTTTGTAGCTAAATCTGTATGAGTGGTGTCAGATGCAAATTTCAATACCATGAGTTAATTTTTGGCTGTTTCTTTCTGCCTGCCTGCTTTTGTAAATCAGTTTTTCAGGTATAATATAGGTAGTATGTTTCGTAATGTTCACATCTTAGCAAAACAGTATTTCTTTATAAACATTTTGAATACAGTTTCCTACAGCACAGAGGTTTCTTAAAACACTAGGCTATTGTATGTCAGGGAGACTTTTGCCATATTTTTATGCATCTAAAGTCAAGAGAAGGCATGCCGTACTTAACTTGTTTGACCTGTAATGTATACAAGAAATGGAGAGAAATTGACTGCATGTTAAAATGACCTAGTAGCCCAGCTAATTTTTTATGCCTTAAATTAGGTTACTGACATTCATAATGCATAGAACCTTGCTTGTTGAGCAATTCAGCATCATATTTGCAGAGGTACAACTATACTAACTGGTATTACACTCAGTGATTTATTTGCACTGGGGAAGCCAAGAAAATTCTGCATCTCTATCTTAAAAGTGTATTTTCCATGGTTCTAAATGATCAAGAACTTTCCAGCTAGAAGTATATTTTCCCCTTCCACTTTATATAACTATGATGATTAAATGATCATTTGTTATATATATTGGGACATGCTGTTTACCTTGGTCTGCAACTTGAAGGCCTTTCTGTGGCTTCCCTAATCTGATCTAGGAATTTCAAAAAATAAATCACTAATTATATTCATAGAAAAGGTCTCCTTCCGTAGCTCTCCGAGCCTGTAGATCTAAGTATGCCATAAAGTACCAGTTTGTATAGAGTATGCTTTGGAGTTGGACCTACCTTACTCTTAATATAATATGCTAGAATGTGCAATGTCTGCTTGCACACACAAAGGTAATTAATTAACCTGCATGCAAAAATTAACCCTTAGAGTACTGCTTCAAATTCCACAATTTTGTTGTTTAATTTTTACTTGTGGACTATACTGCTTTCCTACTCAGGTCATAGTACTGTACATAAAGTATGTATCTAGACATGTAAAAAAAATCTCTTTATGAAAACAAGGAATCCTATCAATACAAACTCCCCCAGGTTGCTAATGGGTGATGTATTCATAAGCAACTATAGTTTTTAAGGTTTTACATTATGACATTAATTTAAAATGTTTAATGTTTCAGTGTAATTGTGTGCCTGTTAGATTTAGTTCCTAAACTTTGTCGTTGTGTATCCAATAAAAAGAAGTCAGTTCTTTAAGGGTTAATTTGGAGTTAGGGGATCCCAAGGTATTCTCCTGCTTGTCTTTCCTTAAGATGTCTGCATGTTTCTTTTCAGGTAGTTACCTGAACATGTGAACACTGGGAATGAATGAATGAGTGACTAACTGAATGAATTATATGTTCTTTTTGGAAATGCCTGCTTGTACTTTGCAGGGGGTGGGAAAACAAATGGTAGCTCCTAAATTCAGGCCTTTATCAAAACAAAGTGGGGGGAAAGAAAAAAAAGTATTTTTTGACATTTTCCACGCACTCTGATGCCACCAGTTTATTTGATTTCTTTTTCTTTCAAATAGCCCAATAGAATCCTGCCAGAATTTCTACAAAGATTTCACATTACAGATAGACATGGCTTTCAACGTGTTCTTCCTACTCTACTTCGGCTTGCGTGTAAGTACCTTGAATTATGTCGTGTGGTTCAGGGGAGGGAATGCAATGATTGTACTCAGAGATTATTTAACAGCTGCCTCACTGTTCATTTGCCATTGATGCAAGAAATTAACGTGGTTTCTGAGACCTGTAAGTAAAGATTTTGGCTGAGAGCCTCTAAGTAACAGTGGTGAGGGGACTGGGTAAGGGGATTGCAATTGACAACCTAGACTATTGCCAATCTACCATCATCTGATACTGCTCAGTGGTCTGTGTGGAATTTGGTCTCAGTTCAGTTCGCAATGGACTGATTTCTACATCACAAAAACTGCCACAATAACTGGCATTAAACACCCACCCTTGGCAATCTCAGGCTGATTGAACTACCCTGGTGCTCCTCAATGTGTTTGCTCCAGTTCAAGTTTCAGGTCAGTGAGGTAGCATGGGGAAATTCACTGCTGCATCCTGTGTCTGCAAGGCTATCAAGCTAGCACCACTCTGAAGTGCTAAGTTCTTAGAGAAAATTTTATTTTGAAAATGTATCATTGGTCTCTTCTCCCCACTTTCTTCAAACCAGGTCTCTTTAATGGGAATCAGGTTCGGCATCCAAAAATCAAAGTACCTAAAATCAGTAGTCATTTAAATAAATATTTGGGCCAATTGTACCCATAATGCATGCTGGTTTTTTTTGGCTAAATTGAGGGGAATGGGCTATGCACTAGAAATTAACGTTACTGTTGCTAGCTGGGAGAGCGGGAGCAGTGGAAGTTTTCAAGGACCACATGGCCACTAATGCTGATGGGAGAACCTGAAAAGGTTAGAAGGTCTGCAAAATGGCTGGAACTCTTTTAAACGTTCTGTGATGAGCTTTCCTCTATATCCTGTTTGTGGTTCACACAGTGTTTTGGTATTTTGGCACTTCTGCTTTTGTTTCTTCTCAGAACCTGGAAGTGCCACACTGTTTGAGAATAAAAAGTTAAGAAAAAGATTACCAACATTTTAGGAACCAGTAAAAAATGTGGTTTGTGATTTGAACAAAAGGTCTGGGTTGGTTGTTATTTTATCTGATCAGTTTGACCCGGGCTAGATACAGTCATTAGCCCTTTGATAAATAGATTAGATCATCTCAGTATTTGCAGTATTATCTATACTTCCCATATTCTGTATCACAAATACATAATAGAATGTATTCCAAATACTAAGATATGGTTATTTTAGGTTTTTAAAGGTGACCACTATACCATCGAGATATTCTGACTCCCTGTCAGAACAGATTCAATACACAGTACCTGTAATTTGCCAGCAACTACAAATTCAGAGGTGTCCTAATCTCTTTCTAGGTCTGTGACACATTTTGCACACAGAGAATCATTTATGCATGTATTACCCATGCTGATTTACACTGAGTATGGAATAAGTTTTTACTCAACTTGAGTAAGGTGGCAGAATTGGCTCAGTAGTGAATTTGCTAGATATATAACAATTATTTCCTACCTGAAGTTCTTTCAGTATAGTCTGACAGACTAAAGTGCTTTTGTGAAGACTTACTGGCAAGTTAAGTTATTTGAAGAAACATTATTTAACTGTACCCTTTTCCATCTCTTTCCCCTAAAATAATGAAATGCAACTCACATTCATATAAATATTCCTATATCTAGAGCTCTAGAAGATGTGTGTCCAACCACATGCATGCATCCTATGTAAATTCTTAGTCAGCTGGCATCCAAGTTTGCTGCAATGGAGAAATAGAAGCTCTCAAACTACTAATGAAGACAAAACACAAATTAAATGAATTACCAGATAGTCAGGCAATAAGGCATGATAGAGCTATGGTTTTCAAGAGCTAATCACGGCTTTGGGAGGCACAAAATATTGCCAAGTACCTCACTGATGGCATGCAAACACTTGAAGCATGATAAGGATTACCCCCAGGAGTTTATCCTGCTGCATTTATGGAATTTGTTTGAGAGTTATTAATTATTTAAATGAATGACCTTCACCATACTTTCACAGCATTTGTATTCAATACCATTATAGTAAAACCAGGGACTTTTGCAAACAGCAAACTGAATTTGAATGCAGTCTCATTTACAGTTTGACTTGATTTCTGAAAGCAAGGGATTTCTGAGTTATGGGAGGCTAAAATTCTGGGACACCCCTGCCCAACAGAGTTATGTTGAGTTTTAGCCTAAACTCAGTATCTCCTTGTTATATTTTCATGCCAGACCTTTGATGTTAATTGAATAATCAGGTGTCTGTTTAATTATTTTAATGTGAGTTCGTGAGTATAGAAATATTTTTCATGTTATAAACATGAGGGGCCCTTTTTATGGGTGGGACCTTAATCATATTGTTATTACTACTTGCCCTTTTCTAATAATCTCTCTGGAGTTATAATGCAGTTAGTACACAGCATGTATTATAAGTTCTGAAGTGGTCCTGGCAGGTAGTAGTCATGGGCTTAAGAAATAATTATATGGTAAGGTGTAACATCAGTGATGGTTGGTGGACACTGCTTTTAGCTTTTAGCTGAAGTATTAAAGGTACTGCTTTTGTATCTGATAGTCCAGCATTCAAGAGCTACCTGGGGTAGATTCCTGATTTCTCTAACTAAATGAAAGAATGTCTTTGATGTACATCTGAGCTTGTTGTCTACCCTTAAACCAATTTTGCATGGCAGTTCCTAAAAGGGAACATTAAAATAGCCCACGTAACACATATGATTCCACTGAGATCATAAAAATGCCAGGAAAAATTGGGTACCAAACACATGGGTATGCCAGCTGTCAAATACTCAGAATACTTGAGTGGAGGTGATGGTGGAAATCTGATTCTCTCCCCCCACCACCGGTGACATTTTATAAAAAAAGATTACCTGAAATAGTCTTGCTAAATGCTAAAAGAATGATTTGTTGAATCTGTCTCCTTGCAACAAGTCTGAGAACTCAATGCATAAATGTTCTTCATTTCTCTACTTGATATATGGCCCTCCCATTGTTAATTTAGTGTTGCCAAGTAATGATGTCAGGTAATAGTTTTATCCTCCAGATAAAACCACTGTCTAGTTATGATTGATCTGAGGACACCAAATGTTGCTCCACTAACTCCTAAAGTAAAACTGGAACTTAATCTTCAGAAAGGAGAATATTGCACACAGATGTATCGACATGCTTATAAATTGATTCTTTCCCCTTTTCTTTTTCTAGTTCATTGCAGCCAATGACAAGCTGTGGTTTTGGCTGGAAGTTAACTCGGTAGTAGATTTCTTCACAGTCCCTCCAGTGTTTGTGTCAGTGTATTTAAACAGAAGTTGGCTTGGTAAGTAAATTGCTTTTCATTTTAATCGCTGATATCAAAACACACACACCGGGCCCAGTTTGACAGAGCAGTTCTTCGTCCTGCACCCCACGTAAGTGAAGGAATGTAACAGATGTTGTCTCTGTGAGCTGTCCATTTCAGCTGACAGGTGGGTTACATTGCATGGGACATTTACCATGTCCATTTTGCTCTTGATACATAAGTGCAATTCTCTGAGAAGTTGCGAGAGGTACGGTGTGACTTTTGCATGGCAGTGAACACCAACTTGAAAGGAGAAGCGTCTGAAATTAGGCTGCTTTTTTAAAAGGTAAGTTTGATTTAATTGTCACTGCTCACAACCTGGGCAGCTAATCCAAAGCATTCATTTATAGATCTTCATTGCGATGAATAATGATGGACCTGTACAACAATGAAATAAAAAACAGTTAAAACTTGAACTGATCTGGCCCAACTCAGTTGCACAATGGGAAAGATTCCGATGTTATTGGTCTCACCTTTTGCTTAGGAAAGACCGTTAGGGGTTGAGGGTGTGGATAGAATAATAAGGTGTTGAGTGAAAACAGAGGGCACAAAATGAAGCTGAGAAGTTAGGGTTAAAAAGAAATACAGAGAGAGAATGTGGAAAAAAGCAGAGATGGCGAGAGAGAAATATTAATGGAATTAATGTGTGCCAATGTACTATTTGGAAGCTCTTCTATCCTTAATACAAAATACAGGTTTCCCCTTTAGTTCAAATCCTGAAGTACTTATTCAGGCAAAGCTCCCAGTGAAGTTAATGCAGTTATGGTTACCATTACTTGTAACAAAGGGACCCCCCCCCCACAGACATAATTCCCACTTTACTCTGTGATAAACCACATGCATCAAGAGTGCATGTGTTTATAGAGAAGCTGAGTGAAATGTACCCCATTGTTTTGGGTCATGGATGAGAACAAGGTAGTTGTTTGAGGCCCACTCCACCAGTTGTTCGTCGTCTGCATCTGGCTCTGGCTAACCCCAGTGAGTGTGTTGGCTGTTGAATTCATCCACATAAACAGCTGGGTGAGTGAGAGTGAGTAAGACTGGCTGTTCCCAGTTCGCACTTGGTGGTTTATAGACATTTGCAACCTGGAAGCCAGCAACCTGAATGACATCACAGTAGTTGGTCAATGACAGTGGGGCAGCATCAGAGATGTCTGAGCGAATATATGTTGCTCGAACATGTTTAGCATGTGCAGTGTGACACAGCAGATCAAATTCATTGATGGCATCTTTATATATATGTGTGGTCTCTTGTAAATAGACAATGTCAATGCTGTGATGATGAGTGATTTAGCTGATTATGTTGTGCTTGGATGCCAACGTTGAGTTGGAGAACTCTAAAAGCCGGACCAATGACTAGAAAGCCTGGGGATGGCACCACATCAGGGGTGATGGCTGGAAAATGACTAGGATTCAGTTAATTAATTGAATTTGGTCTGGTAGGTTATATCATTAGCTTCCCCGGGGTTAGTCAGGTACTGAGGGGGGATGTAACGTGAATGTTGAGCCAATGCCCCCCACTACAAAGGGATGATTGTTTGAACTATATGTTCTTGGGGCAAGGACAGCTTGATTTACTTGGGGTGGTACCATAATCTAAATAATAAATAGTAATATTAGAGAGCTCATACACTTTCTACAGTTTTTATAAACTAGTTTTGCTACAGCAGATGTCATTTTATAGGAGCAGTAAGTTAAATACTGTACATGACTCCTTCCCATTAGGTAGGGAGAATCGTCCCTGATCCAGGCAAAAGCGTTCTCCCCCTGGTTGTTGTTTGTAGTCTCATTTTTGCCTGTTGCCTGGTTACATCTTTTTGAAGGCTCTCCTTCCCCGTTGAGTGACAGAACTTGTCTGTGAAGTCAGCCTAGGGTTTGTGTATAATGTGCAGTACTCTAATCCTTCACCCTGTCTCCTTGTGTCTTTTTTTTTTTTACTTTTAGAGCAGAAGGGTCCTTAGTGAAAGAATTCACTGTGATTCATCAAAGTTTCCTGCCAGAGCTATCATTTACAGCCATAACTACAGCTCCTTAAATGTTGTTCCTAGATGCTGTGATAAACGAATAATGTGCAAATCCAGTAATATGTGTTAATGATGAATTTTTGTTACCTTCCATCCTTTAGATAGTTGGTTCTGCCTAAGGAACCCAATTATCGTATAAACATTTTTTTTCCTTTTGCCACAACAAAGCACTATTCCAATAGCCCTTTGCAACTCCTTGGCAGTGTAAAGGGACTATGATGCTGACATAAGCAGGCAGTGGAAGTATTCCCCCAGCACAGGAGAATTCCCAAGCCGTAGGTATAAAGGGTTGGATGTGGTAGAAGGGGAAGTATCCAGAATGCACTGTACACTGGTGTTTCCTGAACTGATCCCTGGCTTCCTTCAGGTTTGAATGCACAAAGGATAGCTTCAAGCCATCGTTGCCCTTCTTCATTCTACTCCATCTGTACTGAGTGGACCTCTGGCACAGCTGAGGATCTTAGTTACCTGGTTAGCAGATAAACTCAGTGAGAACATCTGTATTATTTAAAAGTTAATTCAGGTAATACAAATGGAATGACATTCAGCATTTTATCACACCCTGATGTTTATCCCAACAATCCAAACATGTGCTTTTCCTCAGAGTGATGTTTCCATGGGCTGTAGGATTTTCATATACAGATTAACAGGAATCCCTTATTTATAGGAGGTATACAGTAGGGGAGATTAATGTGGTCTGTTTCATTATTAATACATCAGGTATTTCCAGTGGATTTCACTGCACTTTCATGTCATTCAGCTAAGGTGAGTTCATCTAAGGTAAAGATACTGGAGGGATCAGATGTGACTTCCTGCAAATTTATGGTGCCATCGCCTTAATATCACAAGAACTAGCCCGAGGGCCGGCTCTAACTTTTTTGCCGCCCCTCCCCCCCGCGAGCGTCACGCCGCGCCGCCGTACCCCCCCCCCAGTGCCGCCGAAATCCCCGCCCCCCCAGCACCATGCCGCCTGAATCCCCGCCCCCCAGAACGCCACGCCCCCTGAAGCCACGCCCCCTCTGAGCACCGCGCCAACCCCCACCCCTCCTCCAAGCGCCAGCCCCCGCCCCCCCAGCGCCGCGCCAACCCCCGCCCCTCCTC